AAATCAACTAAAAATTAATTTATTATATTAAATTATATAATAAAAAATTATCATTAAATTATTTAAATTATAAATAATTAAAAATCAATTGTCAACTACCTAAACAATTCAATGGTTATTTTCTTTTATTAAAAATAAAAAATTATGAATTCAAATCGTATGACCTGTGAATTGAGTGAGATAAAAAATAAAAACTAGTTATCTCTTTTTTTTTTTTTTTTCCGTCCGGTATCCGAGGCTTCGCCCCAACTACTCTGGACTCGACCAGCTGTGGCGCACCAGAATGGTGGGTGGATCTCCCAACAAAGGCAACTGCATACACAAGGTCTCGAAAAAAAACTAGTTATCTCTTGTTACGTAAGTAAGATAAAAAAAAAAAAATCAATTGATATTTTATGTTATTAGGGATTTTCATATCCTTTGAGGTAATTATAAGTTCAGCGTAGCTTCTCACGAGGACTAGGAGGCAAGCCTTAAATTAGCGCAGCCCACGAGCCCTAGACTCCTTCTACTAGACTTTGTAAAATTGAATTCAATTTGAAAATCTGACCCAATCCATCTTATATGGGTTAGATAATGGGTCTTATGTATCAATCTGAAATTTGAAATAATCCGAATTAAAATTATCTAAATCTAAATAGATTGGGTCATGGGTGGGTCATGGATGGGTCGGATCACCTGAAATGACCTAAATTTTTATTTATTTATTTTTTATTAGATTATTTTAAAAATAATTTTTAATTTTTAATTTTTTAATCTTAAAAGTAGAAATAAATAAAATACCAAAACTCTAACCTCCTTTCAATCTCTCTTTCTCTCAACTTTTCCTCTTCTTCACTCCTACTCTTCCCTTCTTCACTCCTACTCTTCCCTTCTTCATCTCAAGCCCTTTAATCCTTCTCTTTAGTGGTACTTGCGTCAACAATCAAATTATGTGGCATATAGTAAGTTGTGTCATATGATATTGTCAAAAATTTTCTTTAAAAAAAAAATAGAAAGCAAGAATGTCTACTAAAAATCAAAAGCCAGGTTGAGGAACTCTCATCATCATTAGAAGCACAATGACAAGAACATAAAAAACATCAAGGTTTGATTTTAGTTGTTAATTTGTTCTAAAGTACTAATTTGTTTTTAATTAATAATTTGTTCCTATTTAATAAAAATCAATCTTGATCTAATTTCTTCTTGTATTTGTTTAGATATATTTTAAATTTACCTTTTAAACTTTTTATTTTTGAGGAAACCTTTTAAACTTTAATATTAAATAAGGTTATACTTTTGTATTATGCCTTTCTAAATATTGAATAGAATTGTATTTTTTGTATAATACTTTATAAATATTGAATAGACACTAGATATTAACATATTTATTGGATTTGTCTTTTGAACTTTAATCCTTCATGTCTCTTCTTTTAATGAAGCTTCATGTCTCTTCTTTTAATAAAAATTTGTGTCTTTTCTTCGAATAAAAGTGAATGTCTTTATGAAATTATAAATTCTAAATATTATATAAGCATTATATTTTTTACATATGTTTTAGTTCCACTTATATAATTAATAATCTTTTCATTTTCTTTTTTTTGAGATTGGAATGAAAATTGAGTCATAAAATGAAAATTAATGTTTAATAAAGTTTTCTCACTAAATAGTTAATTAGTATTAGACTTTATTAAAGAAAAATAGAGAAAAATATAAAAAAAAATTTAATTTTAATTTTAATTTATTAAAAGTTGAGTTCACCTAACCTAATTCGAGACCTGTGTAGGTGAGTTATAAGTCTACCCTTTCAATCCGACAACCGAAATAACCCAATCCAAAAAACTCAAGATCCGAGACGACCCAATCCAAACCCACCCAATCCGACCCATTTGACAGGTGTACCTTCTACATAAAAGTTAAAATAAACTTTTCAACGGCTGCCAAAAAGAAAAATATCCTTTGAAAAATATCGTTTCAAAATTAGCATCACAATATTTTCTTCCCCCCTTTTTCCCTTTTTTTAAAATAAAAATTCCTTTTTCTCCCCTTTAACTATGAATTGAAGCTTCTTTTAGTTAAATTTTGAATATTAGTTTTTGGTTTTTATTATTTGTATTCAATAAGTAACAGTATTATTCTATCAAAAATAAGTAACAGTATTATAGTACTTAAAAATAACCTAGTAAAATTTATTATAGAAAATTTATATTATAATACATTTAATCTGAAGAGTCCCTTCCATTCATATATATATATATATAAAGATTCTTTTGTTCGGTAATTTGAATTATAGTAACTATAAAATATGAGTCATTAAATAAGATAAAAAAAACTTTAATAGTAAGATCTCTTCTCCATCTAATGATAAATATTGTGCAATTTAAACTATATTGAGTTATACAATACTTTTTTTCTAATCTAAATATAACATTAGTTACTAAATATAAAAATATCAAGTATCAAAATTCAACTAAATGGAGCCTCTAATCAATCTATTAATGGAGGTATTGGCGAAAATATGTATATTAATTGAGATAGGGAGTTATAAAAACCTCATAAAATAGTTAATGAGTGAGAGGAGGTTCAAGTCACTCTAACACTATTTGAGTATGAACACGCTCACTACTCTTAAAGATAAAATTTTGCCCAATACTTCTGAATAGAGCAGTCAGTTTGTAAGTAAATGTAAGATTAATGAAGTAAAATG